AACGAGCCAGATAGGTTTTTAAGGACTCGCCTTCATCCTGATGAATGTCGCCTAGGTGTGTCAGGTCTTTTTGTGGTCTGATATTAGCGGCATAATGGCTCATAAAGCGGTCCGCTAGCTCTTCGAAGCTATGAATCGACCCCGGCGGCTGCGCCACTAGCCACCTCTGTGCCGGGCCTTTTAATGTGGGCAGAAAAGCGCGGCACATGACCGGGTCTTGAACTCCCAAGACCTGCATCTTGGCTTGGTAGCTTACAAATGCTCTCGAGGGTCGCCGGACCCATTGAACGTGGCTTGCTCCGGGAATTTGAAATCACCCGGTATCTTAAAGGCCATGATCTTGTCCGAAAAGGGCAAGGCGGTTAATAACGTTCGTCCCGGGGATTTGGTTTTTCCCTCCATCTGCTCTCTCAGATTTCGCACTTCTTGGACTAAGTTCGCCACTTCGACCCTTTCCCGGGTATGGTTTCCTGTCGATTCCGTGCTCTCACCGACCTCTGACTCGGTCGGTTGGTCGCGGTTGCGGACGGGTTGCTCTATGCGGCGAGCCTCAGTCCTGGTTCTTCTGGTACGGTTTTTCTCGCGTGCGGTCTGCCGATCGCGAGCAACTGACGGGGCGCGACTAGGTTCCCTTCGACCTAGCCGGGAATGAACGGACTGTACCGGCTGACTCTCGGCCCGGCGGTTCCGTTGCCGGTCATCGGGCCTGTGAGACGGCTGCTGACTGCGCTGCGGTAAACGAGTGACGGACCGTTCTCTTATTCCTCTGCTCGCTTCGGCAAAGGCACGCCCGATCGCATGTAGTTGTTCTGGGGTGAGCTGCACCTGAGGCGGCTGTTGGTTTATCGGTGGTGTCGGCGGCGGCGTTGTCTCGTTTTCCCGGCTCCGAGTGTTTCTCCGATTCAATTGGTTTCTCAAGTCCGCCCCCAGTCCGCTATCATGTCGGCTTAACTGTTCCTGACTTCTAGCCACGTTAGGAGCTTTTCTGATTCCTTACGTCTTACGACCGAGATTCTTCTTGTCGTTTCTCGAACTCGCCTCGCTCAAGAGGACACGCGACTCTTAGTTTCGATCCCCACAGACGGCGCCAGTGATGGTTTCTGGGTTTTCGGGCCCAAGGAGGTCCAACACAACCTTTAGCTGGAGGATACACCTTTCAATAAAATGCGTCTTTTGAATGAAACGAAGTGTTTGTTTTAGAATTGGTCTTACTCCCCCCTCTGGGTATTTTTTCCGTGTGTCCTCTTACAAGAGTGGAGGAGCCTTTATATAGCAGGCTCCCCCTCACTGACTTGAAGGCCCTTAATGGCCGACTTCAAAGCTAATTAAAGCACCGAGCCGTTGGACGTTATCACTAGGTCGGCCAACGGCTCTCTCAAGCCTGTAACAGCCTGACCAAGTCCTGCTTTTAATGCCCTAACGGCTCCTTTTTAAACGAGTCTCTTCAATGCTCTCAACGGCTCCTCGAACCGTGTCTTTCCTCGGGCTTGGGCCCCGGTCGACTCCTCGTCCCGGCCCAAGCTCCCACTGGGCTCCTCTTAACAGTTCTGAGCTATATTCCCATGCTTGGGCCTGGGCCGACTCCTGGACTCGGCCCAAGCGCCTTCCGGGCTTCTTTTGACGTTAGCCCATCTTTTCTATCTCGAACCCTCTTTTTTGGGCCAATCTATCTTGGGCCGGGATCCCTACCCCATCAATTATTATTATTATTATTATTACTATTATTATTAATACTATTATTATTATTACTATTATTATTATTATTATTATTATTATTACTATTATTATTATTACTATTATTATTATTATTATTATTATTATTACTATTATTATTATTATTACTATTATTATTACTATTATTATTACTATTACTATTAGTACTATTATTATTACTATTATTACTATTATTATTACTATTATTACTATTATTACTACTATTATTGTTATTGTTATTGTTATTGTTATTGTTATTGTTATTGTTATTATTATTATTATTATTATTATTATTATTATTATTATTATTATGGCTTGTTTGCTCTTTGTGGGTGGCTTGAGGGTGACCATTGCTCTAGTTGTAAGCTCTGGGAACCCCTCTTGTAAAAATGTAGAGGTCTGCATGAGAGGGGTTGGTCTGGCTCCTGAGGCTGGAAGGTGGAGGGTAAAGATTATATTGATTTCTATTCATGACTCTTAAGCATGCATCGGTCCCTCACCTTGTGTAGGGTAAGGATTGTAGTATGATTGAGTTGCATGTTGTGTGAGTTGTGTATGCTTGATTAAACAGCTTGGCAGCCGGCTCTTGGTAGAGTAACTTAGGTGTGAGTGCTTGCTGTTTGGTTTAGAGGATGGCACTTTTGTTGATTTAGCTAAGGAATTTTGTAGCCTAAAGGGGCAATTCTGGGGCACTATGTACAGACAACTTTTAAGAATTAATATTCTTATATTTTGCATTACAATGCAGGTTACTTCTAACACTGGTTATTACGTATAGCAACCGTGTGCTTTTGGATGATGTAAGTTCACTTAATTTGTTTAAATGAAATATGTATCTATATACATTAACTCTATATTGATATGGAATATATGTTTCCTTTACTATGAGGATTGTAGTTAAAGTTTTATGAATGTCATTTAGCTTGAGTTGTGAGTCTTATATGAGAATATAGAATTTGAATTGCACACTACATTTTTCTTGGCCCTTCATCTATGTGGTTGGGTTGATTGAATTGTGGGTTAAATGCTTCATTATACACATTTGATTGTAAAAGTGCATGCATGATATTTATTAACTGCAAATATTATATCCTCACTGGCTATTTTTATTTATCAGGTGGCAAAGATATTGATGAAAAAGAGCATACCTAACACCACATTGAAAGTAAACTTTTGTTTTATGAAGTACAGTAGATTGGACTTTTTTTGGGGGTTGCTTTTGTATAAACTAATCATGTCTATTTGTACAATCTCTCCTTTCAAAATAGCCAACAGATACATTACTATGGCTATTCATTATAATTAGTTTCTATGTTTATAGTCTTTACAAAGTTGTGCGAAATATTTCATTTTAGTGGTGATGATGAATTCTTTTAACATATTAATCGAGTTTAATTTGATTCCATTATATATGTTACCGATACAATATCTATAATTAGAACATAATGTAGATTAGCGATAAAAAATGTATTACAAAAGTTAATATTTAATGAGAAGCAATAATATATATACCAAATTAGAAAAAAAAACTAGTTTTAGTGACGGTAAAATTTAATATAATGAGGAAAAATTTGGTAAGCAAATAGTAATATTAATGACGGGATTCACCATCATTAAAAGAATATAATGAGGGGAAATTATGTTAGTGAGTAGTTATATTAGTGACGGGATTTTCTATCACAAAAAGAACATTTTAGTGACCGTAAATACACTATCACTATATGCTTATTAATGATGGTATCATATCCCGTCATTATTTGGTTTCATCCTCGGAAGAAATAACGACGGGTCATGACGGTAAATTTCCCGTCACTAAAAGTCTTTTATGATGGTTATTTAATTTTTAGTGATGGTTTTACCTCTCACTAATCAACAATTTTCTTGTAGTGACAGTACTTCTATAGAATTCAGTTGTTACACGATCATTGCCTTTGTCAACATACTTGAAAAGGCATGTTATGGACCTGGATTGGTTACACCACTCAACATTCATGTGTGCTCGGTACTTTAAAAGCAAAGCTCTATTGTATGGCACGACATATCTATTGTCCAATTTCATATCGTTCTTTGTTATGATCATATCATCATCACGTCACCTATGAATTAGGTAGCCATCTTTATCTAAACTGGAACAGTCAACAAATTTTTTTTGGAAAATGCTTTGGACATTGCCCATTCACCATGCAAGGTGATTTTTTCCGTGCAACAGCCCCATATGGTCCATGAATCATGAATTCTTCAACAACATTATAACACTCTTTGTCACAATCCTTGTTTGGTATTTCAGCTCATGATATGATAGTGTCCATGAAATTGGCTGAACTGTTGACATCATTTTTCGCCAAAAAGAGCAAGATGTATGCCTAAGGAAGGCGACGCTTCTGAAATCTGAAATGATTACTCAAAACAATTAGGCAACGAATAATCCAATGTTTTAATTGTATTACTGTATATAATTTCCATATTTATTTAATATCAATCAATAAATTATTTGAATAATCACCTAAAAAGGATCAAATAACACAATTTTTTTTGAGTAAATACCAATTTTGGTCCCACGAGTATTAGTAAAATGACAATTTTGGTCCACATGTTTTATTTCTACCAATTTTCATCAACGACTATTGTTTTAGTACCAATTTTCATCCACAACTATTGTTTTAGTGTCAAAATTCATCACGTCAGTCACCCTTTTGTTTAAGTCATACCGAAATATGAAATTATTAAGGGTAGTTTCATGCTTTTCAAATTAGGATCCCTATTTGAGCATGAATAAATGAATTTAAGCCATAAGATCTATCCCAATTAGCAGTTTTCCTCCTCAAATTAATATAGGATGAGGAGGAGAACTGCGAATTAGGATCGATCTTAGAACTTAAATTCATTTATTTATGCTCAAATTGGAACCTTAAGTTGAAAAGAATGAAAATGCCCTTAAAATTTTTAGATTTCGAGATGTCTTAAATAGATGGGTGACCGACGTGATGAATTTTGGTACTAAATTAATAGTCGTGGATTAAAATTGGTACTAAAACAATAGTCGTTGATGAAAATTAATAGGAATTAAACATGTGGACCAAAATCGTCATTTTACTAATACTCGTGGGACCAAAATTGGTATTTGCTCATTTTTTTTAAAAATTTTTTTATACAAGTAATACTCGTAACGACCTAATTTTAAGCAATTATTTGCATAAATGTTGCGAGTAATTTTTATATGTCATTTATGTCGTTGGGTATAATCATAAATAGAGTCACGACCGAAAACGTGAACACGCTCTGACTCCCTCTTTTCAAAAGATGGATTTTCCCGGCCATCCTCCATTTCAAATCCGCCGCTTCAGTTTATAACACTTCCGTTTCAAATCCAGCTTGATCGGTACTAGATTTCCGGCCATGAGAGAAAGAACGGGGTATTATTCCGACGATTGCAGTGTCTCCGTCGTAGCGTTTACGTCTTGCCTTAGCCGCCGGAGGAGACGGAGACGTAACGGCCGCAGATGCCCTGGAGCCGCCGCTTGTCTGTTGCCTAGTTGGTTTTTTGCGCGGTGGCGGAAGAGCAAAGATGAGAAGAAGAAGAAGGCTCCGGGCCAGGTATCGAATGGAGAGTCACCGTTGCCGTTACAGTTGGTGGATTCAGGTAATCCTTCATTATTCCTTCCTATTATTGTGTTTGGTTTATCTTTTTAGATTTGGGATTGGATAAAATGGAGTTTTCGATCAATATGGAATTATTATTATTATTATTATTATTATTATTATTATTATTGAGGATATAAAAAAAAAAAAAAAGAATAACACCACAATTGTTTTAAATTTGTAACTTTAAATGATTTACACACTCATAAAATCATTGATAACTAAAAATGTAAAAAATGAATTATGTTCTTAGCCAGAAATTCGGCTTGATAGTGGTGAAATAAACATGAAAAAAAGAAATAGTGGACCCTCATTGGATATCAATGAGGCGAGGTGGGGTACACCCTCTATCTCTGTCTCGAAACAGAAACCCCACCTCGGGCTCCATCTCCTTCTCTAATTCCATCGGGAATAGGAAATTTTCTTCATCTCTGTCGTAGAATTTTGATGTTGGAGATTCTCGTAATGATAACAATGCAGCGGGTTGGGCACCGTGGTAGTTGCTGAGGTTGTCGCCGACGGAAGAAACTCCGGTGGGCATGGATGTGTGCCATCCACGAACCCGTATAAATTTTGTCCACGTAGAAACGGGACAAGCTGCGCCCTCCAGAACAAATAGTTCGTGGCTGTCAGCTTGATAGACACATAATGGTGTGCCTGTTGTAGGACGGTAGGAGCCCGACGCTCGGAGGGTGCCGCCACCTGAGCTGCTCCATTGGAGGAATCACTGGGCAGAGTGGCGGTGGGATTAGTTTGAGATTGATTGGCCATGGGTGAACCTAGTCGTCTGATACCAAATGATAACAAATATAATTTGTGAAGGGATTAATTTATTGACTGTGAACAAAGAAGTACACGCTTATATACAAGAGTCTACCACCTAAATAGGTGGAGCAGCTTAGGAAGACTAAAGACTCTAACAAAAACATAATAACAACCACTAATAATATAGCTGATCTAATACTCGTCTCTGGTCAAACTTTAATCAAACTAGTATTTTTTTTTTTTTTTGAAATAATAACCAAAACTAGTATAGTTCACAATATTTAAGTAAAAAATTTTAAATATTAAAAATGTAATCTTATTATAGTTAAATCTTCATCAATTCTCAATAGCAATAATTAAAAATCGAAATGTCAAATATAATATTCAAATTCGAAGAAAAATATAAATACACAATTACAAAATATAACACAATCAAATACAATACAACCTATCTGCAACAAGTACAACAACAACAATAATAATAATAATAATAATAATAATAATAATAATAATAATAATAATAATAATATTATTATTATTATTATTATTAAAAACATTTTCTGTAGGTCCCACCCCGGCCTATTCCTCAAAATTTATATCCTCATCTTCATCCACGTTGGGGCGGGGATCCAAGATCGATCCTTGTTAGGATGGAAAAAATTGTCATCTTTACTCAATAATCAATAAGGGTGTTGCACACCAAACATGATTTTATCAACTAATTGGCATTACTAAACAAAATATAGAGTTAAATGGACAAACAATTTTCATAATCGATATGATGTGACAAGATAACTTTCTTTTATCAAGTTACAAGAGGAACCCATAACTACTACCTAAGTGTATGCACACTCCTGTTGTGAGTAATCAGGGCCGTTCCAATAAAAATTGGGGCCCGGTACAATATTTTAATTTGGACCCCTTTTTTCAAGTAATTTTTATATATAAATAATAGTTGTGTCAAAAGTTCAAAACATAAATATTGTATAAAAAATACATCTTAAATATCATTTAAAAAGTGACATGAACCGTGCACACTTAGACGCAAAATCATCTAAACAACTATCAACATTCTTATTATTTTCATTGTCACAGTGATACCTATCATTGTTGTGCACACTATTATTTTATTTTTTTTCAATCTCGCAATCATCTTGATCTTCTATATGAAAATTAACATCTAACAATTTTTCATTGGGCATCATCTTTTTGCTCATCTATTTGAGTTTTTTTGTAATGAATTTTTCAAGAGCTCCCTTTTGGGATTGAGTTAATTGCTCAATCCTTCTTTTCTTTTTACGCTTCTCAAACCCAGATGAATATTTTCTAGAAGACATAAAATCCTAAGAAAAAATTAAAAATTTATTTAAAAACTCTATCAATAAATATTTAATCAAGAAACAAATTCTTGAATATATTATTCTGAAATCAGAATTATTAAGTCATCTAAATAAAACAATAAACAAGAATTATGAAACAATACGTAATTTTAATTACCTATCAAGAGAATTTAAGAACTTGAGAGTTTGTATGATAAAAAAAAGAATTGAAGAATCAGTAGCACACAAGCTGAGTCTATGAGTCTGTCGTTTTTGCATCAATTCATTAAATTGTGCTGCCTAAAAGACGTCAAACAACAAAAAATTAAGAATATAAATCAACAATAAAATTAAATATTTAAATAATTAAATTAATACAGCAAAGAATACAAAAAAAAAAAAAAAAAAAAAAAAAAAAAAAAGCAAAAAATACAATTTCAATTTGATAATATTCAAATTTAATTTACCTAAATCCTAATCTAGCAATTAAAAAAAAAAATTCCTAATCTAGCACTACAGTAAATCAAATTAAATATTAGAATTGTTTCAATTACCTAGGTAAATTCAAATTGTTGTAGGCAGTAGACTTGTAGTCTCTCACTCTCTCTCTCTCTGTATAGACTGCACTCTACCACAGTACCACTAGATTGGGGATTTAGGGTAGACTTTGTGTTCTTTGAGTTATTAGTTTTTCGCTTGTTCGAACGTACTCTGCCGCTAGATTAGAGATTTTTAGGGTCTTTGTATTCGGCACTCGGCAGTTGCGATATATATATAGTATATATATTTTTTTTAAATTAGGGGCCCCCAAAATTTGGGGGCCCTGTGCGGCGGCCCTGGGCAGACTTGCCCAGGGCCGGCCCTGTGAGTAATAGCCTAATCAACTTGGATGAGTTACGAATTATCAATCAAGATAACTTTTCATTCATTGGTTACCATAAATTAGTTGGTCACTGTCAAGCATATATATAAATAAATGTGCACTCCATTATCAGTTTAGTTTTTAGTTGAGATGAAGTCCGTGTTTCAATTTCGTATTAGTCTTAGACTTTTAGTTGAGAATTCAATACAAATTATATTTTGTCATGTGTGATGGTGAAAGATTTTGATTATCTACTTTGCTTGATCTTTATTACAATTACACCAACTTGCTCTTAAATTCCAACAACCTCATCTGCTCTTAAGGTTCAATTAATTTGGTTTGTTGACGCAGGTGGTCAAAAGGAAGCCTCATTCAACGTAGGTATCGGATTAGGTCTAATGTATGCCATTGCAGGTTGCAGAAATGAACTCAACAAGATTGTAGACTTACGTTTGCAATTCGAAACCTTAATTCAAACTTACAACAAAGCACAAAATCAGCAGCTCCCATCAACTCCATCCGATGTCTCAACCCTCAGCAACCTGTCCAGCTTCTCCAACACGGACAGCCACGAAAATTTTAAGGATAACGGCGATTGTTGTGGGCGACACATGAAATGCAATAAGAAGATGATGAGTAGAAGGAGAAATGTGGGAAGTTCAGAGATGATGGATGAGCTTGAAGCTGAACTTGTAGCAGAGTTGAGTCGATTGCAGCTTGATTTGGATTCTGATGTTACGTCCCGGGACTCAACACAACATAATGAGGTATATATGTGCTTGCCATAAAGTAGCAATGTCTCAATGGACCACGCTTAATATTAGGAAAAACTTTGCAAGTTAAAAATGGTTGCAGTGGTTAAGTGAGCGGTTAATGAATTTAAGTTAAAAGGGTTAAATAGACTTTTAAATTTTACAGGATAGGACAATTAGGCATTTGAATTTTTAAGAGGTATAATTAAACCTTCCAATTTATTAAAATTGGACAAATAAGTCCAATTTATCAGTAAACAATAGGTTACTTGTAAATTACGTTGTCAATCACTGACTTTTTTTGATTGAGGAATTGCCTTCTCTACTATGGTTGCCTTTTCCTAGAGAAGGCGATCAACCAGAATTAGTCGACGGAGATGTGACCGTCGACCCCATGAGATTCGTCGGAGTTTGACGGAACGGTATTGACTGGCTATGAGAGGTTCATTACCGGTTGGTGGGCTTTGATGCACAAAAATAATATGTGATGGGCTTAATTTCACATTTAAATGTTCAGGGCCTAATTGAATTTTTATATAAAGTTTAGAGACTTATTTGATCATTTTCTCTAGCTTTAATATTAAAAAGGAATAAGGTTCAAATTGGCCACTGAACGTAACCTGAAAATGCAATTAGGTCACTGAACGAAAAAAAAGTGCAATTAGGCCACTGAACACTCCAAAAATGTGCAATTTCACCTGATAGCAGGTTACCCTCAATTTTAGCAGGTTATCTGCTTACGTGGCAGCTGATTTGGCATTTTTAATAAATTTTAATTAATTTTTAATAAATTTTAATAATACCTTTTTATTAAAAAAAAAATTAAAAAATAAAAATGACTTTATTTTATTTTTTATTTAATTTTTTTATAAAATTTATTATTAAAATTAATTATTAAAAATTATTTAAAAATTATTAAAAATGCCAACTAAGCTGCCACGTAAGCAGGTAACCTGCTAAAATTGATGGTAACCTGCTATCCGGTAAAATTGCATACGTTTGGAGAGTTCAGTGGCCTAATTGCACATTTTTTTAGTGTTCAATGGCCTAATTGCACTGTTTTTCGTTCAGTGGTCTAATTGCATTTTCATGTTACATTTAGTGGCCAATTTGAACCTTATTCCTATTAAAAAAGAATTTGGGACAACGTCAAGTTGTTGACTTCGAGCAAATTATTGTGTGGACCACGGTCCAAAATATCGTTGTGAATATTATGAGTAAAAATAATATATTTATTGTGTTAGAATAATGTAATTATGTGTTAGAATAATGTACATTATGTGTTTAGAATAATGAAACATCTGGGGTAATATAATGTACATTATGTTTTAGAATAATGTACTTTATGAGTTATAAAAATGTATGTTGTAGCTGTTTTTGGTCCGTGGTCCACACAATAACTATTGTTGACTTAGTAACCTTATGGTTACAAGTTCGACTCATAGAGCTAGGCTGCAGTATCTCGAGGATTGTTGTGCATTTTTGATAGATTGAATTTGGAATTTCCTTGAATTATTTGGCAGATTATCATTGGTGAGGAAAACGAAGCAAGGCAGAATGAAAGGTTTGGAGGAGTGGAAGATATTGAAATTGACACAAGATACTCAGAGTATGAGCTGGCAGTTTCTCCATACGAACTAGAAATAAGGTTGCATGAGGTGTTGAAGGAGAGACAAGAAGAAAGGATTGAAGAGCTGGAATCAGCTTTAGAATCCGCCATGGAAATGCTTCATCAGAAAGACGAAGAGCTTTCGTGGTGGAAAGACACCGCCAACCTCATTTCCCAACACGTTTCCAATGTTCCTCGCTTTTCTTGAGGCGTAGCGCTACAACAAAGAAGTAGACATTCTATTCTGAATTTACATCATATGCGATATGATGGTACACTTACAATTTTTTTTTTTTTTTTCTGGGATTATATGATATGATTTTTAGTGTTACATTGGATAATTATATTAAATTTTGATTAATTCAAATTTAACTCTAGCTGTCCAGGTAAAAAACCACATGCATGCCTCAATTCAGAGTTATTATTATTATTATTATTATTATTTTATATTATTTATTTGTTAATTATAGTGATATATATTTTCAATTTTTGTCATTCATTTTAATTTGTTTCAATTTTAGTTAGTCAATTTAAAATTATTTAATTTAATTTTAATCCAAAGTATCTTTAAAATTTTTACAAAATGAGAATATTTTGGGTAATTTGAATTAAAGTGGAACATTTTTTGTTTTTTTTTTTTGTTATTTTTTGTTATTTTTTGTTTTTTTTGTTTTTGTTTTGGAGTGATGAGGAAAACTTGTAATCACTATCTAAGTGTGTGTATTGAGCAAACCTTGTTTTGTGACCCTAGTCATATTTTTCTCATTGAGAGTAAAATTTGTGATATTATAATTACCAAACTAACACTTTGACTAACTTGGTTGGAGTTGCTACTGAAGTGGGGGCGTTTTAAATGAGGGACTATACTAGCTCGGGGAACATTTTTTTAGAAGTTAAAGAATGAAAGTTGAACAAATTAGGTTGAAAGACCAAAAGTGTGAAATGCAACTACAATTAAGAGTATAAAATGGAATAAACTCCAAGACTAAATTAGAGTTGTGAAATGTGCAATAGCGTTCAAAATTTGGCAAGGTGAATTGTGGCCACGGAAATAGGATTAGATACAGCAGATACGAGGGCATGTTTAATTTGTTCTAAGGGCATCCCCAATAAGGGGATCTTCACCACATTTTAGAATAGTAAAATTTCTTGGGATAGACTTTAACAAATGGGATGGAGAGATTTTGAGGAAATTTTTCTCCTGCAAAACTAAGAATTTTGTCAGTAAAAAAAAAAAAAACAAAAAAAAATATTTGCTGCTTTTTCAGAGTGGCCAGTGGGCCACTCTGAAATTAATTTCATTGGCCGTTGCCCATGGCAACGGCCAATTTTCCGGCCCAAACTCTGTGCCGTTGCCATTGCAACGGCACACCTTTTTTTTTTTTTTTTTTTTTTTTTTTTTTTTTTTTTAATAATAATAATAATAATAATAATAATAATTATTATTATTATTATTATTATTATTATTATTATTATTATTATTATTATCACATCTTTCACAAATTTTAACACATTTCAATCCACTCCTAATTTATTTATATATTTCTCTCAATTTATTTTTGTAGTTTAATTTTAAGTAATTATTTGTTTAATTTTTATTCTATAACTATCGTATTAATTAATTAGACGTACTATGTTTATAAAATTATAAATATATAAATTAAATAAATAAAGAAATAATTAAAATATGGAGATTAAATGGTGGGTCCACAAAAAGTTGTGAAAAACTTAAAACTAATGGGAAGAAGAGATTTTGTGATTGAGTGAAATAGTGGATGATAAGGTGGATGTTGGGGCCTACAAAAATCTGGGGTAAAATCCCCAACTATTGAGGATGTCCAATACTATTGGTTACGTTTATTAAGATTTTTTTTTATTATTTATCAAAGAGGAGGGGGAAACCCAAAAATCACATGCCAAAAGTTGCTCCCAATTGATCATGCCGAATGAGCTCTTGAACCTCATTTGGTGCATCTGTGAGAATCCGCAAGCCTGCCTGATGTGCAAAAGCATCTCTCGCAAGGAAATCTGCTGCCTTGTTTCCCTCTCGTAGAACATGTACGAAATCCACCGCTTGAAATCTTTCAGCTTCCCCTCAGACATCTCCAGATGATGTTGCAATCTGACTCTTGATCCCTTACTGCCTTGCAAAGCATGTGTACAAGATGTTTGGAATCACTTTCAACCACGAGCTTCATCGCGCCACCCTCTCTTGCTACTCGCAGGCCATGCAGAATCCCCCACGCCTCCGCCTCCGTCACCTGGCACATGCCGATATACGACATAAAGCCCCCACACCAATTGCTGTGCTCATCGCTGTGCCGTTCCCCTTCCGGCTACCATCGACATTCAGTTTGCGCCAGCCACTGGCCAGCTTTTTCCAGCCATTCTGCTCGCTCGTTGTCTGGGCAGCTCCAGTCGCCGGTTGGAGTCTATTAGCAAACGCAGCTTTCACCTCCGTGTCATACCTTGCGAGCCAATCTAACTTTTGCTCCAAAACTAAAACCTGCCGGTTAAACACCCAATCGTTTCTCCACCTCCAAATCCACCAGAGCCGCGCACTGATTGAGCTTGCCAGTCCTCATTGAAACCCTGTCTCACGTCCCCTTTTAAGTTCATTACGAGCCACTCGCCCCACGACAAGGTGTTGAGGAGAGCAAACGTTCGTCTGGGGAGTGCTGCCTCCCAAATACCTTTCGCCGCTGGACACGCTATGAAAAGGTGAGAGAGGTCTTCCACCTGTCCTGCACAAAGAAAACAAAAGGAATCCGAATTTAGTCTGCGTCTCGCTCTTTCCGCATTCGTGAGGATTTTACCATGTCGCACTAGCCAAAGAAACATGATGAGTCTCGCCGGCACTCGAATTCGCCATATTCTGCGCCACACATCTTCATCGCCGGTGCCTGGCTTGTCCACAATCTCCGCATACATAGAGCGAATGGAAAATTTCCCATTGAGCTCAAGACCCCAGCCAATCCCGTCATCCATGCACTCATCCGTTAACACAAACCCCGCTAACTTTTCTCTTGTCTCAGGTTACAGGATGTGCTCCAACAATTCCCATTTCCATCCCCGAGTCTCATCCCAGTAGTCTCTCACCTTGCATAAAGATCAGGGAGCGCAAGTGGTATGTTAAGTTGATTGTACAGTGGTTCCGGCAGGAGCCACTTATCGATCCAAAACTTGACCCTGTTTCCATTCCGAACGGTGCAAGCCAGCCCTTTCGTTATTTCCGTCCAAGCTGCCGATATACCCCGCCATGCGTTAGATGCCTTTCGCCATCCCTGCCCCAAGACGTGTAAGTCCTCGGGCCTCCTGTATTTTGTGTTTATCGTTCGTGCCCATAGGCTGTGCCTCTCTGTCAGAAGACGCCAGCCCAGCTTCGCCATATAGGCCACGTTCATTTTGCACAAGCGCTTAAGCCCCAGCTCGCCTGCATCCCTCCCAGTTGTGACTAGGTCCCACTTCACCAAGCTCATTTTGCTCTCCGTTCCATTGCCCCCCCCCCCCCCCCCCCCCCTCATATAAACTTTTTTATCCATTTTTCGATCTCCATGCACACACCTTTGGGTAGAAAAGTTGTCTGCATTGTGTACGCAGGGATAGCATTTAGGACAGATTTAGCTAGCAAAACTCTCCCGGCGAGTGACAGAGTCTTCGCTTTCCAACCATCTAAACGCCCAGAAATCCTTGTAAGAAGGCCCGAATGTGTCGCGCAGGTGACTCGTCCATGTATGGCTGGTACCCCAAGATATTTGCCCAAGTCCCTAGTGTGTCCAATGCCGAGCCTGCCTGAAATGTCTTGTATAACTTCTGGTGGCGTGTTCTTTGAGAAGAATACCTGGGACTTGCTTAGACTGATTTTCTGACTCGAGGCGCTGCAAAAACTGCACAAGCAATCTTTCAGCACTTCTACCTGCTCTGCCGTGGCTTCTGTGAAAAGCACCATGTCATCTGCAAAATAAAGGTGGGTTAGAATAGGCCCATTAGTCGCAAGTCTTATACATTTCCAAACCTGCCCTTCAACCTCGGCGTTAATCATCTGGCTGAGCCTTTCCATACATAGCACAAAAATTGCCGGTGACATGGCACCCCCTGCTTGATGCCCCGCTCGGGGCGGAAGGGTTCGAGCCATTCCCCATTCCATATGATGGAAAGCCTGGATGTCCTAATGCATGACATCATGAGCTTCTTTAGAGTCCCTGTAAACCCAGCTTGGTCAGAGTGTCTTGAATAAAGCGTCAGGAGAGCCTATCATAGGCTTTCTCTAAATCCAACTTGATAGCCATGTAGCCTTTTCTTCCTTGTTTCTCGTGCATAGTGTGCATCACTTCCTGAAAAATGAGAATATTGTCAGAGATCTGCCGTCCAAGTACAAAGGAGCTTTGGTGTGGTCCCACAATCTTTGGCAGAATACGCTTGAGCCTGTTGGTAATCGTCTTGGTTACGTTCATTAAGATGATATCAATTAGTACATTATTATTTAAATATATTTATGATACAAAAAAATTTCTATTGCAATTCTGGTGGAAGTATCAATTTTGGCGCTAAAAAATGGATAGAAATATTTTTGCAATGAAAACCAACATGCGTTGTAATTTTTGCAACTGAATTTGCAGCGAAATTCCGTTGCAAAATTTTATCAATTCTTAAAAATTAAGGGTTTTGCAATGGTATTTGCAATGGAACACAATATCATTGCAAACGTTATCATGCAATGAAATATGTTGCAACGAAAATTTGCAACGGAATCCATTTTCCTTGCAATTTTTTTTAAAACTAATTATTTTACAATGATATTTGCAACAGAATAAAATTCATTGAAAAAATTCAATTGCAACCAAAAAAATTGCAAGGGAAAAATACAACGGAATAAATTTCCGTTGCAATTATTGTACAATTAATTAATTTGCAATGATCCTCACAAAAAAAAAATTTAATTTGCAACAGAATAAAATATCATTGCAAAAATATCATTGCAATGAGATTAAGTTGATGAAAAATTGCAAAAAAATAAAATCTCATTGCAATTAATTTTTTTTTTAAAATAGGAATAAGGGTCAAATAGTATATTGAACTACACACGAAACTGTAATTTGGTTATCGAATTAACTTCAAAAAACTGTAATCGGATCCTTGAACAACGTAAAATTATGTAATTTTATTATTTTTTAATAATAATAAGCGTCAAATAGACTATCGACTTTTTCTTTTAATGATTGAATTTGATAATATTTAGAAATAAATATTTAAACTGAACCACTTCAAATAAATTCAAACTGAATTAATTAAAGTAAAATTAAAAATAATGGTTTCAGTACTACAATTTAATACTAAATTGATGCACAAAGTAAAATTGAATTATCAAATTACTTGC